CAAAGTTACTGAGGTGAGCTGCTTTCTTCTTCACCTCCTTCAGGGTGCTTGTGCTATTCATTGGCCATGCAGTTAGGTCTATTTGTGACAGTCTCTTTTCCATTTCCAGTCCCTGCATTCTGGCTGATGTTATTTATTTATTGGGCTGTATGAGAAACATTCCCTGGGTTCTAAGAGTTCCAGCAACACAATAATAAATATGCTCAGAGAAGTGTCATGCTCCTGCTCTCTCCACCTCCACCCCATTCTTTCCACCCCATTCCACCTAGCCCCTGCCAGCAAACTAACTTGTTACTTTTGGTTGATGTGTCCTGGGCCCTTCAGTTTTGTTGGGAGTGTTTATTTTGCAAAAGCTTACTTGTTCCAGTATGATTGATACTTTAGAGAAAAATCTGAGCTTCATGTGAATTTCAAGTTTGCTTACACTTGATTTCATGCAAGCAACTAGGCGAGATTGGAGACTGCACCCACGTTGCCCTGTGCTGTGAGACCTCCCAAGATACAAACATCTCCCAGCTCCCTCAGCTCCCCCATGCTTAGGAACCGACCCCCCACCCCAACCTGCTGCTGTCACGCCGCTGTCACGGCCTCCCTTGACTGCAGACCAGCTGCCCTCCAATCCTTCACAGCAGCTCACAGCCCCACCTGCACTCCACAAACAAACTTCAGGCTGTTCCCTAGGTCAAGTGATAGATTTGTTGCACTATTTATGTAGTTCTGAATGGTGCCACTGTTTTTTTTTAATTATTATTATTAAGTTGTTATCATTGTGCATATGTATGTGTGAAAATGAAGTTTAGTGAATGTTGTGCTCATAATGCCATTTTTGATGTTTATTGTGCAATTTTGCCTAGTGTGGAGATTTTCAAGATGCCTGTGTTGTGTGATGGCAGAATGAACTTCTTTTGTATAATTTGTATCATTTTTATGATGATATTTGTATCATTTTTATATGCCCCTTTTCTAAGATGAAACATGAAAGCAAATATAGATGATGCTCTTTGAGGTTTTGCCCCAAACTTACTTAAGAGTAGGTTCTAGAAAGCACTGCTTTTTAGTTCATAACGATCTTCCTCACTTTTTATGGCTACCTTCTCCATTGTGTATTTCCTCTGGGGAATTAAGAAGAGGCAAAAATGCTGTGAGATAAATGTTGATTTGGAGAAGGTTGTCCCAATCTCCTCTTTAGTCCAAGTCCACAGTCGTGTCATGCCCCCAAGAAGCATTTGAAATATCCTGAAGGGAAACTAGTGTGTCTGGTTGTAGAATTTCAGAATCGGGGAGCAAAGTGGTGGGTAATTACCTTTAGGGGCCCTTCCTCTGAAGTCACCTTATCTCACCGTGGATGAATGAGAACTCCCAAGATGGGCTTTAATTAGGAGACAGCCCTTGGGTTTGCAGCCAGTGGGATTATAAGCTAAACAGCTGGGTCAGTTTCCTGTGAGAACTTTTGAGATAAAGCAAATTTTAAGGAACCAGGCACTCCCTCTTTCCTCTTGGAGGAGCTATGAGGCTACCTTGGAACCATCCTTAAAATTTGCTAAGTCTCTATCATTGGATGTTAAGGTGTTTGTAATTATTTTTCTATGGTAAACATTGCTTTGATGAACATTCTAGTGAATAAAGTTTTGTATACACTCACGTTATTGCCTTGGGATAAATGCCTACATTTAGAACTGCTGAACCAAGGGGTATGGATCTTAGAATCTTGATAAATATTGACATATTGCCCTCTGGAAAGGATGGAACAACTTATCCTTCTTCCAGCCTCATAGACGAGTGTATTTTTCATTTGCTGGTAACAGTTTTACTACAAGCAGTAATGAATGTATTCAGCTACTCGTGTACATCAGGTAATGTGCTGGGCTGAACACTGAATCAAATTTACATAACACTGTTTTGCATTTTCTTCACAACCCTGTGCCATTGAAGGTTTTATCCCCATTTTACAGATAAAGAAACTGGAACTCAAAAAGATATGTTAACTTTTCTCGAATCATACAACCAGAAATTTATAAGCTAGTATTGAAATCTTCTTGGACCTGTGATCTTATCACTATGTCACTCCATGACTGACAATCATGTCAGTCAAGTCTTCAGGGACTTGACTGGGTTACGATGCTGATGACGTCAGACACATACGGAGTGCTTATTATGCATCAGGCATGACGTGCAGGTATCAATACATTCAATCCTTATTTCAAACTTATGAGGTGCTGTCTTCTCTTATCTCTACTGAACGGATGAACCTGCCCAGGGTCACACAGCTAGTAAGTGATAGAGCTGGCTTTCAAATCCCAGGTCATCTGGCCCCACAGCCCATGCCTTTAGTGTCCAAAGTACAGTAGCACAGTTGCAGAAGATTGTTTAGCAGAATCTCATTATGAGTGCTTTAAAAAAAAAGATTGATTGGACCCTCCCTGGTGGCACAGCGGGTTAAAGCCCAGCACAAAGAAGCTTAAACCACTTCTGCATGAGTTCGATTCCCGCCTGCCCCAGAGGTGATCCACATGGTGTGGCAGACCTCTCCTGACCCACCCGCTGCTCTCCTCAGCAGTGTACTTCATAGATCTGCCTGTTCTGCTCCCCACTCTGTCTCTGGTGAATCCTCTCACCCTCCGCAACTCTGGCCTGTGCCCCAGTTCTGTATGAATAAATAAATCTTAAAAAAAAAAAGATTGATTGATTTATGCATAAGAATTGGGGTACAAGCCAGAGGTTCAGGGGCGGTGAGAGTATTTACCAGAGACAGAGTGGGGAGCAGAACAGACAGAGCAACAAAGTACACTGCTGAGGGGGGCAGCGGGCGGGTCAGGAGAGGTCTGCTGCGCCATGTGGGTCACCTTCCCGGCTGGGATCAAACTCGCACTGAAGCAGTTACAGCTAGCTTACAGTGCTGAGTCCTAACCCATTGTGCCACCAGGGCGGGCCCATGAGTGCTTTTTTAAAGGAAGGAAATAATGGCTTAACTCAAGTCTACTAAATGAAAGGAGAGTTGGTGTGTAAGAAAGTTTCTGTTCAGCAATTTCCTTTCCCTATACTGGCAGCCTTTTCCTTGACAGAGATACACAGCTCTCATAAGCTTAATGACGAGAGCTCCAGGTCTGGGGGATGTAACTTGAAGGGAATATTTTCCAAGGAGCTTACCCAAACTGAGTTGAACAATGAAACAGTTAATTTTTCCCCCAAGTTACTTACGCGTACTGAATATTACCACTTCAGATGGACAAACTTTCCAATGTGTCCTTAAGTATGATCTTTCTCGTTGAAGTTTGTTGGGTAAATAAAGGACCCTCATTGCTGTTCATTATTTTAAGCCTTTTGCTATACTCTTGCTTTGGTATTTAGAGATTATTAACAATTGTGCAGGTTATGACACAGGGTAATATTTTTATGTCATCTCTGTAAATGCTCAACATTCCTCTCTCCCACCTCCCAACCTCACACCACCCAAGAAAACCAGCTTAATGAGCCACAAAACATGTTATAATGAAGGGGAAAATATTTTTAGCATTTTTATGCAGAAAATGCCTCATTAAAAGCAAATGCTTCAGCAAGCAGATTTGAGCTTAATAAGAACTTTTGTAGAGCAGGGGCTCTTGTAACAAATCACCAGCATGCATAACGGCTCTCTAGAAAGACCTGGAAGGTCTAAAAGGCTCTTACCTTCCTTCCTTATCCCCAGGCTGCACGGCCACAATGGAGCGAGGGGCCTGACACTTCCAGACACTTGTGAGCCTGAAGGACATGAGGCTTCCTCTCCAGCCACAAACAGGAAAATGTCTACCTCTGGTGCAACACCCTTCACTTCTTGTGCTACCAGTGTTCTATCATGCAGACTCATTCATATTTTTGAAATTTTCCCCTCAAATAATATTCACTTTTCTGTGGTTGCCATGGCTCTATTCCTCTGGGGATACATCTTCACACCCTCCTATGTGCACATGCTTTGCTCATTCTCCACCAAAGCTCCCGTCACGCACATTCACGGGGAGGAAGTCTGTTCTCAGTTCCGCGTTGGGCATCACCAGACCCACATACCACATAGCTATTTTGCAGGTTGCAAAGCTGTAAGGGTGCAGTACAGGGCTTACAGCTATACATAGAAATTCAATTTCAGATAAAAGCCACCATTTATGTCCACACTGTTGTAACTTCTTTAGACTTTGGGCCTCTAACTAGAATGAAAGGAGAACAGGGTGCACCATGTTGGCCAGGCGGGTGGATGTGGGCACAGAATGCACAGCCCCACACTTCGGGCATGCTGCTCAGAGGCGCTTGTCCCCAGGGAGACTCCAGAAGGACACCTGGGGAGGGTGTGCTTGTGGGTGTCCCGAACTCAGGTCAACCTTGCCATCTGCAATCTGTACTTGGGAAGGTGGGTGCCAGCCACCCAGGCGAGCTGAAATCACCAGTAGTGATAATATCACTCTGGTAACTAGTTCCCATGAATAACCAGTCTCCCTAGATGAATGGGAACATGAAATGATGGGATGATTTGACTTCAAATGGTAGGGTTTGTTTTGTTTTGTTTTGTTTTGTTTTACCTTATTTAAGTTCTTTCCCAGCTCGCCCCACCAAGGCAATGATGGACCGCAATCACCTGGCCAGTGAAATCGCAGCGGGCGGCACAGCTGCGTCTGTGCCAGGCCTGGCGCCAAGCTCTTCCCATGCCTCATCTCACTTAACCCTCAGACACCGTAAGCTGGGTATTATCAGTCTTCCCATACCACCAGTGAGGAAACTGAGGGCAAAAAGGTAGCCTGCCCCAAATCTTCCAGCTTATTTGGAGAACTGGGGTTGGAAGCATTTAGAATCCTTAATTATGATGACTTTATTGCATTGTGCAATCAGTTAACTAAAAAGAAAAAAAAAAACCATCTAGCCCCTTTCTATTCCAAAAAAGAGGCATTCCTTGCAGGAACGAAAGGGGCAAAATTCAGCAGCCCAACGTGCATGATCTGCTTGCAGAACTGCCAAGGCCCAGCCACCCAGCTCACCGTTAAGAAGTGGCGGTCTTTCACCTCGCGCCTCCGCTGGCTGTGAGATGGGCCATAGGCTGGCAGCGGAGGGGCCGCCACGGAGTGGGGGGCTGCAGCTCTCTGCTCCCGGCGGTCGCTCCGGCTCCGGTGTTCTGGGGGCAGAAAAACGATCATACAGAAAACTACTTGGTATTTTAGTTTCTCTCGCCCCCGTGGCCAGCTGAGCAAGGCTTGAGGGCAAAGTGAGTTATTGCTGATCTAGCTCACTTATATACCAACTAAGAATCTGAGGCTGCTTCCGGGCGGACTTTCACTTCATACTGAAATGGAATTGGACATCTGCATTTCAGGAGACCCAGCTCATGGTCTTTGTGCAGGATGGCTCACTCTGAGCTTGCAAAAGGCAGTGTATTTCCCAACGTGCCTCCTTTCCAAATAGCTGAACACAGGGGGAAAAAGAAAATCCAGGGCAGAGCTGGAAGGTGAGCTGACATCACCACTGCAGTGGACAGTGGGCATGGACCCACCAGAGCTGGCCGGGCAGTGCCAGCTATGGGGGCCCACTGCCACCCGTGGGTGCTGGGGCCACACTGGAGCAGGCATGAGGCACACTGTGTTCACGACTTCTGTGAGCCAGGTTTAAGCCGTGGGCCGTCATGGTGGGGGTTTTTACATCACAGAAATTGGCAGGCGGAACACATCCGGGATGTTATTTATTCCATTTTATTGTTTTTTTTTTTCTTTTTTAGCATCTGTGGCCACCACTGCAGCCTGTTCAGCCCCGCCATTCACGACAATCAGAGAGTAAAGGGATCCCAGTGACAACAGTTACCTGATTTAAGGATGAAGTCACCTTTGGGACAAGCTGCGAAAACAGCCAACTTAGCTTTCTGGGTGTCTCCATGAGCCCCAAAGTCCACCGTATGCAACTCACCGGCCACATCAAAGGTATGTTTCTAGCCAAAATCCTGTCCACGCTCACGCCCAGGGCCTGAAATCTGGAGACACACTCGTAGCCAAGGCGTAAATTTGTGCTGTAGATTTCTTAAGCTCTCTGCCCGTCTGTTATTTAAAATCGCTATGATTCAGTACATTGCCAATAACAATCATGATGCCAAATATTTAACGGAGCCGTTGCCACATGCCAAAGACATTTCGCTATCCCCTCAGCAACGGCGCGAGAGGCCCCATCCCCGCCCTCCTCTGCAGATGCCTCCACGGGCTCCAGGAGCCCATGGAGCCGCTACGCTTTCGAGACTCGTGCTGGGCCGTGGCCGTGCTGCCGACCACTGCTTGACCTACAGGCACACCAAGGTCAGAGAGCACCTTTCACTCACTACAGCAAGGTTCTCTGGGTTGACAGAACTTGATTATAGTTTAACGCATTCGAATTCCTAGAACGTTGAAAATGTAGAATGCTAGGCAGCTCCTGTGACACTAGTGACATTTTGACCCATGATGGGAGATAGAAGTGAGGCCCCGACCCTTGTGGGTGGGCTCAGTGCCCTCTCTCCCAAGGCCCTGAGGTGCGCAGGGTATTGCTAAAAAATCATGGTCTTTCTGTCTCTGCCTTTTCCACTAGGAGTTGGCCCCCAGAGGAATGAGGCAATATTTTATTCAGCTTTTAAGCCAGTACCCTGTTGTACCTGTGACGTAGTAGGGTCTCAAAAAGTGGTTGTTGCGTGACTGGAAGATTGAGTGCCTTCCTTAAAGGCTGGTCGTTTGGCAGGAGAAGGCATTCCATGCCCCTGTCTTGCTCACAGGCTGAACCGACTGGGCCCTCACACTTGGGCCTTTCTCTAAGGCCTGTTTGTTCTCCTCAGGGCCCTGACGCCAGCCTGTTTGCTTTATCTGGATTCCGCGTGCTGCAAGCTGACATGCTTTACCACCAAGCTTCCCCACTGCGACCCACATCTGAAAGGTCTGTCTGCCTGAACCCCCAAGTTTGCCTGCGACAGAGCAGTGTGGCAGGTCTCCTTGTCTTCCTTTGCTTGGGATTCTTTGGGCAAATATTGACTCCCCTTCAGCAGCAGAGAAAAGCCCTCATCACCATGTAGGTCGTCTTTGCTAAGCAGCCTCACAGCCCGTTTACCAGGTAGACTTCTTGAGATAAATGTCTTCCTTGCTCAAGTGTCTGCCGCCAGAGCCACCTTCATTTTTCTCTGTAAGCAGTGGGCTTTTCTCAAATGGCCAACACCAGGAGAACTGTTTCGGGGCTGAAATCCATAAGGAAGGGTAGATAGAATACAGGGCAGGTGGTCCAAAAGGTGGAGGAGGGGAAGGGTCTGGAGAGAAACATCAACTCAATTTCCCATTGCTCCCCTCCTCCACTTTCTTAAATAGAGCTTTGTCATTTGCCATGGTCCAGGCAAAGGCAGGTAAAGCAACGGTCTGTGTAGTTCTGCGGTGGGAGCACATCCAGCCAGTCGCACCCGAAACTACACCTTTAGACCAACAGAATTTAGTCCCCAGCACTGACACTTGAAAGGAAAGGAAATATACACCAGAACTACCTCTTTCTAGTCACTTGGTAATGCCCTTCTCCCTGTCTATGAACATCAATAGTGGTGTAACTTAAAGGTACATTTGGCTCTGCGCATTGAAGAATTGTTGAGAAAAAAAGGTAGTAAAGAGGGACTGATTTCTAACTCACTTGAAATCCACGAAGGTGCCACCTCCTCTGGGAAGCCCTCCCTGAAGTTCCATGGCTTGACTGGCGTCTCTCCTCTGAGCACCCACCGCTCTGTTGAAATGACCTGGCTATTGCCTGTCTCCGTCACAGACCAGGAATTTCCTGTGACCGGGGACCCATATACCGCTCTCTGGATCCCAGCTTAGCACCAGGCCTGGCCCTCAGTGGCTTTTATTGGTGGCTATTGCACACACACCAGGTTCCAGGTTCTGTTCTCAGTTCCCAGGGGCCTCAGCTCCATTGGGAGCAGGCTGTATCACTGTAGCCTCCCTTGACCGTGCTTGGGCTTCCGCCCCCTCCTGGTGGAAGTCAGGGTGTTCCAGCTGTCCAAACAGAGACTCTTCAGGGACACTCACTGCGGCATTTGCTGAGCAGGGCGGTCCTCTGAGCGGTCAGTACAAGTCCTGGCCACCAGATGGCACAAGTGGCATGCTGATGTGTGCAACTCTGCGCGACTATGTTTCTTGGACAAGGTTAAAAAAAAAAGCCACTTTCTAATTTTAATTCTACACTGCATGTTTTTAATTCTATGATGCCTATAATTCCTGTTTATGGCTCTCTGCAGTGCTATTAAAACTACTACACCCAAGATTTGCTATTGAGACAACCACAAAGCGAGCCAGTCTGTGGAGGGCAAGACGCAGCTCCTCCGTCTTCCTTCGAAACCCCAGGAGGCCCCATACCCCTCTCTCAGCCCCTGGAGGAAGTGCCGAGAAAACTGATGTTGGCATTTGCTGTTCCTCAGAGCTGCCATTAAGTCCAAGTCTGACAACGCAGTGAAATGTGATAGTGTACGAGCAGCTTAATGCTATCTGGTTGTATCTGGAAAAATCTAACCAGGGATGACTTATTAGTAATCATAAAGGGAGAGAAATAATTAGTGGAAAGGACTAACGTTACTCACGTTGTCTAGTGATGGAATCAGAGAAAGTATTTAGTAAGAAGGATCGATTCCTGTGTAGTCATTCTGTGCCCCAATGCTCAACCGATTTTCTGCAGAATTTCATTCAGTTGCACCAATATTCAGGGTCATGCTCAGGGCTGAGAGATTTTTTTAAATTAATGGTGGAAGGCAGGTCCGTCAGTGGTTAGTTAGGATGCACAGTTATGAGGGGCGGGACATAGGACATTCCCGGATGCGTGCCTCATCCAGGCTGCGTAGACAAGGCAGACCGTGATGGAAGATTTTCAAAAGGCAGCAAGCGCTAGAAATTGGTTAAAGAATGACTTTTTAACCAGCTACAAAATTAAAGTGACCAGTGAGAGTGCCGGAGAAGGGAGGGTACCCATCACCTTTCACTGTTAATCACCCAGGAGGGGTTTTCAGAGGCCACTGCCCCAGGGTGTCAGTCGTTAACTCTTGCATGAAAAGGAACATTAGGGACGGGAAAGGGAGAGGCGCAGCAGCCGGAAGAAAATCAACTGAAAGCATTTGTCACTTTATTTCTCCATCTTGAGAGTGACATTAAATATTTGAATTTTAATACTTTTGCAAAATACCATTCCTTAAAAGAGGATGGGGACTTAGAACAGAGACATGGAGTAGACACCATCTGTTTCCAGGTAGGATCGGAAGGCAAAAAAGCTGCATGTCTACCTTTGCCCCCCAGTTTAGGGGGGTCTAAGGCTTCTTGTCCTAACTGGAAAGGTTGGAAGGCACTGACAAGTAGCCAGAGTCAGAGAAGTTGACTCCTGTATGTCTAGCCCTGGCTTTCTCAGACATGTGAGAGAACTAAAAAGCGAAAATATCTATTGGCTTGTTTCGCCAGGACACAGGTGTAGTGAGGAGGAAGAGAATGCAGCGCTCAGGGCTGCGCCAGACCCGCGGTGAGCAACTTTACCTCTCCAGGCTTATGTGCTGCTCTATGGAATGAAGAGGCCTGTGGGGAAGGTTCTGGATGACTGGGTGGGAGACAGAGATGACAGCCATCCTGCCAGGCACAGGTAGTTGTGAACCTAAAACGGTGCCCCAGATTCCACAAATCCCCCCAGAAGTTTTCGTAAAGGAGGAAGCCTACAATGTATTTCTGAGTCAAACCGAATGCCCTTTTAACTACAGTTCCAAGTCGGGGTTTTCTCTGCTCGCGTATATTATCTGCAGAATGCACTGGTTGGGGGGTTGTGTCCCCCTGGCCTGATTTCCACTGCCCTATGCTTTTGGTTCAGAATGGCTTCGCTTAATGCAAACCTACTTTTGATTGGCACAAACATTTCACTGCGGTAAGTGCAGTTGGCCCAGGCCTTTGTCTATTGCAAATATTGATATTATTAGTATAAATCATCTCCCACTTCAGGTTATCTTCATTCTTGTATTTAGACCATACACTGCTTGCAATTCTGTGTCTGGGCAGCTTACAGTGCCCTTGAGTCCCCCTTCAGGGAAGAAAAGGGAGCATCTCCTAGTGCTGGCCATAACAAAGGAGGCGGAGAACCCGGATGGGACAAGCTCTACCTCCCCACCTCCTAAGCCCCCCAAGCTGGGGATCACTCACCTCTGCGCAGGGCTTGCAGGCTCTGCCGGGCGTGGCGGTGTAGCTCCTCCACGCAGGGCGGCCTCGTGGCCGGGAGGAAGATGTTTCTCTGCTGGTGCCACGGCGCTCGGTAGTACACGCTCAGTTTGCTCTCCACATCCAGGTTGGAGACGGCTGCAAGACACAGAGGGGCAGCCGTTAGAGCTCACAGTCTTACCTTGTGTGCTGGGCAGACTGGGGGAGGGGCGGGCTGGGGGAGTGGGTCCAGAGTGCTCCTTGGCCTTGGCACTCATGTCAGGCTGGAGAAAGGCTTGCCGCTCACAATACGGATGAGCGACCACAGGACACCAACCATCTGTCTGTGACTGTCTAACTTCCTCCCCATACCCTTGCTTCGCATTCTGACACAGTTGCTCATCAGCCTGGACAAGTGCTGGGGTGGCGCCGGGTCCTGCCTTCCAGGAAATGAGAGAAAACCTCAGCAGTAAATGGAAAACCCCCGCCTCGGACCAGCGGTCTGGCCTAAGGGCCTCAGAAGTGGAGCTAGGCGCCTCAGCCCCGCCCCCCCATAGCCTCTGAGCGTTGGACTGACCTGTGCTCTGCTTTCTGTCTGCTGTGACCTCTGACCTCACTATTTTACCTTATCCTGCTCTGCACCTGCCAACTGCACTGTCTGCCATCATTCAAACATTGCTCAGTTTCCTGAGTGTCACTCCTCATTAAAGAAAGCATTACAGGCTAAGGGCAGGAAAACACAGCCAGGCCTGACCAGGAGAGGGGCCGGTGCTTTGCCACTTATCCAGGGGGTTGGGGAAGGAAGTGCATCACCCCTCACCCATGCAGCACATAGCCCACACTGTCTCCACACATGCTGAGCCTAGCATGGAGATCACCCATGAGGCAAAATAAATTCTGATGAAAAGAGCTTCTCCCAGCAGGAGGGAATGACCTCACAGGGGCCCCTCCAGCACCAGGGCCAGCCAGCCTCAGGTGCAGCGCGGCCCTAGCCCCGCCTGCCTGTGAGGCCTCAGATGAGGCGCCCGGAGCGTGGGGAGGAAAGTGCAGAGGCCATATGTGGATCCGAGTTTCCCTCTCTCCTGTGTGAAGTATGCTGAAGACCTAGGCTTTAGTCATGCTTAAAAGTCAGCCTCTTCCTGGGACAGTGGTCAAGTCCAGCTCAACAGGGAAGAGGTCATTACCAAACTCCACAGAGGTGGCTACAAATTCACATGCAAGCGGCCGCTGGAGAAGGGCTGGAAAAGAAAGCCTGCCTGGTGGAAGGAGGAGGCAAGAAGGTCAGTGGGCAGCCCCGGAAGAAGGGGCTTCTGAGGCCTCCTTGCCTGTGCCCATCGATAGGAAGGCAGGAGCCAGGATTCGGGGCTAGGCCCAGGCGGCTCGGTGGAAGACCAGGAGACTCGTAAGTTTCTTACTGCTGTAGCATTACTCACTAGAATGCTACCTCTTGACAACACCTCAGAGACCAGGTCAAGTGATCTCACTCTTCAGTGTTTTATGGGGGAGAGCCAAGCTACCACAGTTACTCTCTGTGTCATTCTACAGAAAAGACTTTGCAAAACACAGATTCCTGGGCTTCAACCAAGAGCTCCTGAACCAGAATTTCTAACAGAGAGGACTGGTAGTCCGTATATCTTCAAAGTATCCTCCAGGTTATGTTTTTTTATGGTCAGGCAAATTTGACTAGCACAAGATGTGATGATGCCCCAGAGTCTTATGGGTGTGAAGGGAGACAGGCAACATGGGCGAAGGAAGAATTGCAGAATATAGCAACTTCCACCCACCCGGTGCTCACTTTCCAGCAGCTCTTAAATCCCAGCATGGTGCTTGGCGCTGGGATAGCGCAGAACAGAGCACGCAAGGATTCATGCCTACAGGGCACTTACGTTTTCTGGTTCTAGATGACAATGGTTTCGACATGATTCTAGCCGGACGCCAACAGGCTGGGAGAAGCAACCCCTTCCTGGGGACTGCTGGCAGACGCCTGCTTTAATGTTCTGTGTCCCCTAGAGATGGTCTGAGGCCCCAACAAAGGCTACGAATGTCAGAAAGGTTGTGCCCCCCACACCCCCTTTCTGCAGTAGGCAATCCCAAATTAAAGACCTAGTTCGCATATCCTGAAAGTAAAGAAGTTCGTCAAACATTAACTGTCAAGTTCTCTGCGAAAGGCCTGCTTTTTGGTGCGCTAAACACATTCTCACGGCACCACGGGGCTGGCCAGCGCTGCGGATCTGGATCTGGGCAGCTAAGTTCTGCCTGCTGCTCAGGACTGTGGACTCACAAGGACGAAGACTGACGCCTAAGTTCCTGCACAGGCAGCCCAGTCATGGCTTCTGGGCAGAAGCAGCCCCCATCAGGACAGCCTTTGGGGCCAGGGACCTCACCTCGCCTCGTCCGAGGCCTTAATCTGCTGAGAAGCTATGATGGATTTCTACCCGGCATTAGCAGAAAATTTCACTCATTAGCTGCCACGATGGTGTTTACCTCTTAGACAGGGAGGAAGGAAACCCTTTAATGCTTTGCTTTCAGTTTTGTCCTTTGGTTCCAGAGCATTAACTAGTATTATGTGTCCACTGGCGGCAGAGAGACAGGCACTAATGGAGCTTTGCCAGGGAGAGCTATCCATTCCGCTTCCTTAAAAAATCTATTCCTTTTTAAAGGAATTCAACGGTTCACTGAAAGTGGAATCCGCGCATCCATAAGCTCCTGGGCCAGGGCTGCCAACGGCCTGCCCCAGCCTCTGTCCACTTGGCCCCTTCTCCTCCTGGCGTAACAACATCACCAGCGCTGGGCCATGCAAGATGGCAGGTTTAGCATCCCCAGGAATGTTCATTCTCATAAATGACAGAAAGAAGTGGGAAGTGCTCTCCTCTGCCGGTAGGAGGCTCCTCCCAGGTAGGCCGAGTTCTGGGAGTGCCCTCACTGTTCCTGCGCCCCCTCTTTCCTGTGAGCGGAGGAGAACCTGTGAATTTGGTTGATTACATGGCAAAGGGGATTCGAAGACCCCACTCAGCTGGCTGTGAGTGATCTGGGAGATGAGTGTTCCAGATGGGTCTGGTCTAATCAGGTGAGCCCTTCGGAAAAGACACAAAGTAGGGGAGACACTATTCTTTTGGCCTTGAAGAAGCACTTGGGCCTGGCAAGAAACCACACAGCAGGACATGCTGGGCAGGCCTTGGTGCCGAGGACCTCATTCTTACAACCTGGAAGGACTGAATTCAGTCAGACCCTCAGTCGAAGTCCAACTGTGCCGATTTCTGACCTGTGGAATTTGTGAGATGATAGATGGGTGTTTTAAGGTGCTAAATTCACGGGAGTTTCTCACCAGGTACTAGAAAACCTGGTATCCCCACTGTTTTCAGTTTGCCTGGCCTAGGACTTGTCCTCTCCTATCCTTTTTACTGCTCCCCAAGGAAGGGGCAGCTGATGGCACAGTTTACAATGGGAAACAGGGTGACTGGTCTCTCTATAGCATAGAGACGACGTGCTGGAATCACTTCTCCTGTCTGAGCCTGAAGGTTCCCACAGGGAGTTCTAACCCAGGGGGATAATGGTCATGGTACCCTCATGGGCCCCATTTAACAGAAGGAAACACAAGCTCAGAGAAGGTGAGTAATTCCCAAGGTCACACACTTGCTAAGTAGAAGATCTGGGGTTCGAAACCATCTGTGGCTTCCAAGCTGCTGTTCTTTCCCAAACTAATACTGACATAAGTTTGTCTAAACTCAGGCTGACTGTGGGGGTGCGGGGACGTGGAGCAGGCTGTCTGCCACCTCCAAACTGAAACAAAGGAGTCGGCATCGCAGCTCTAACCAGCCATGGCACGAGGAGCAACCAAGAGCTGAGTCGATCTTTCAGAAAGTGCCGGACAACCTGTCAGGGAAGACTTGTCATACGTCAGAAATACAGAGAGCACCACGAATAGACTCCACCACCAAATTGCCGCAAGAAAATGCTAACATTGGCTGTGTCCACAGGGCAGCAAAGTCTTTATAGACTGAACTTAGTTCATTACCCTGTGAAACTCTCGAGATAATGGAATTGTCTAGACTTGATTCATAGTGATGTATTGAAAGCCTGGTTATGGTCACTGCGTTTGTCTGAAATGAGCTTACGTGGAGGTGAGGAACACTAGTGGCCCGCTACTCTCTTGGAAAAACCAGGCCCATTTCTAGGCCCGTTCTGTTTAGGAACTGCTGGGAAGGGTAAAAATCAGGGACAGATACAATCTGGCCCCAGGCCTCCTCAGCCCCCAGCCTCCCCTGCCCTGCTGGGCTGAGCTAGCTTACCATTGCCCTTTCCGGCCTCCTGAGCCCCTCACTGCCTTCAAGCTCCATTACCTCAGGAGGAGGACAAAAGGCTGATTCTCCGGCTTCCAGTCTCCATCCCTCAGGCCAATGCTCTCTCTATACTGCTCGTTTTCCCTTTTCCCAGGCTCTCAAGAACTCCAGAGCAGGAATATGACAGCCAAAAAGAAGTTTGAATGTGGGGGGTGGTGCAAATTTCAGAAAAATGTGCCAGGTGATTTAGAAGTGGAATTGCTATCCTTTCAGGAGAGCAGAGGCTTAAAACTAGGCTCTTAGGATGAACTCCCCACACAGGCCTTGCCGACTGTCCTTCCCACTCTTCCACCCAGGACAGCCCCACCACCCATCACACTGCCTTCTTCTGGAACACGCCCCTCTGCCAACAGTCCAGTCTGCTGGCCTGCGACAGAAAATAGTAGGAGTGAACGCAGTCAGATATCAACACGCATACGCATCTGACCTAGTCGGTGCCGCCGCCGCCTCCTGGGGCCTGGCGGGCTGAGGGGAGCCTCAGCAGGCCAAGGTGGCCCCTACTCAAGTCCTCTACTGCCGCTGCCCAAATTCTCTGCTGCTGAGTGGCAGGGCAGCAGATTCCTCCCAGTGAAACGCCTCATTGCCAGCTGCCGTTGCTCCAGCAGCAACCGTTCCCTTGCCCACTGGGCTTGGTGGCACGAGGGAGGAGCACCAGGCGCCTGCCAGCTGTGGTGCTGTCCACACTAGGGCCAGGTTTGCTCAGACCCTACGGGCCTCCTGATCTGTTGAACTACAGTCATTCAGGTTTGTTTCCCACCATGGACACAGCATCCATTCGGACCCCTCAGCAGGGACAAGCTGCAGGGCCTCAAGCTACCCCAAGAATACGGCTGTACTGCTCTGTTCACA